GGGGGGGGGGGGTACACGTTACATCCTCGAAGCTGAAACTGATTAAGTACATCTCGACTGACGAAAACGACGATATACTGGAGGAACTTGATTTGTAAAATCTCGTTAAAGCAGTTGTAGATATGGTTTCAAGAAGAAAAGATCTAGTTTATCATGAATATTCTTCTCAGACTTATTCTGTATCGTATAAAAAAGCAACGCAATTTTGAGACTGCGGAAATGCTGTCTGATAGAACCTAGAATGATTTAAATGCAACATTTCAGATCAAAATCACATTGGGATTTTCTTCCCCCAGCATAACAGAGGGAAAATAAGGTGTAAATAAGGAAAAAGTAAACTTACTGATGGTTTCTTGGTGATCAGGTTATATAGGCAAAAAAAAGTTATTTCCAGCTCTGACTACAAAAATAAATAGAAACGTTTAAAAAGTCACAAAACAAATACCGTGGATAGCAAAAACTGCATCAAAACTCCAAGAAAGAGCATTTACAGCGCTGCAGAGATGTGCTTAACACTTTAAAATAGTTGGCCTATGGGAAAGCCCAGCTCACGAATTTAAGATACTCTGGATTATTAGGGGATTTATTTAAGAACTACGCAATTCAACGCAGGGGGGGGGGGGGGGGGGAGTATAAAAGCCTCACTAAAACAGTACCTTATAACATCATGACGGACCATTTTGAAATGAATGTTTTGAATGAAGTTCTTAACTAGTAACATATTGTATTGCAGAATTTTGTGGAAAAAAGCGACATCATTTAGTTTGATACAAAATTTTACCGCGATTTTTATTTGATACAAAGGATTTATATTTACCTTTGTTCTGTTTGTTTTGCCATCCCAAGTGAACAGCAATACATCATCATCCACCTGTCCAACAATATGAGCATTGCAACTTTCTCTGATGGAATCCACATCTAAAAATCAATCAGTTGTGTCTATCATAAGTTAACTCAAGTAATTGTGTTTGATTCTCCTTGGGGACGAGATTTTAGGGTCCAAACGATGCTGCCGGGTGGTGCACTAAGCACCACCCACGACGTCATCATGGCGTCATTTCGTATTACGTCATATGCAGTAAGCGTTGACTATTGATTACATACCATTTCATGAAAATCTTCACAGTTTGCTATTTGAAACAGTGACTTTTTTGTGTCTCGCTCCGCTATTGTTTGGGAGCTGTAACGTCATTACAAAAAGTGATTAGATTGCAAAAATGCGTTATATAAAGCACCTTTCGCGGTTTTTTCTCATTCTGTGTCACAAGTTGGTGCTGTGAACATCTCTCTTAAAATCCTGGTCTTCACTTAGCAATATGCAAGCTCTGGGTCTTTTTGCTCGCCCTGCTATTCTTGGTCGAACCAACAAGAGTACAGTGGTCTTGGAGAAGATTGTAAAGGAGAATTCTCTTAACAGAACTGGGGCTGTCAACTTTAACAACTATGGAAAGCAGGACAGTGTTGGTTTCTCGCCTTGCAGTGACAAGTTCATGGACAACTTTCTGCTTTATGTATACGTCCATAATTATTTCGTGACAGCGAAGAAAACGTATACGGAAGTTGGTCATGTCAACAAACTCGTTTCGGATTTGGTAAGTGCGAAGTCAAAGCCGTCGCCTTGTCACCATTAAAGGAACAGCCGAAAGCAGACGAATTGGACAAAGTGTATGTGAGGCTTAAAATGAAAGAGACTGACGAAACTGTCTACTACGTACAGGAATTTAAGATTTTCAGTGAGGCGAGGATTACTCCAATGTTCTCGAGTTCCTACGGACCGACGAGTACAGGATCAGAAACATCTTCCTAAAACTAAAGATATCGACGTAACCATGGAATACTCCGGCAGCTTCGACAAAGACGAAGTTATCCACAACCTGACGACCAACGAAGGGTTTCGTATGCAAGGATGTACAGTGGATGCGAACAGGACAATTCTGGACAACAGTGACCAAGTCGGAAACTACATGGAAACTGTGCAGGGTGTGACGACTCGTTGTAAAATTTACAACAAACGTTGGAGAGCAAGAGCGTACGAGAAACCGTTGGGCAGCATTGAAAGGACTGGGTATGCCAAAAGAGCGCTCGTTTGGCCAAGGCTCGCGATTTAGCCAAAGATCGTGGTTTAACTCGGGCAGAGGTGACATTTTATTGCGCAAACAATGTTCCCTGTGACATTCTTATGGAGGGTAACTCTGAGGCGCAGAACACGATACGTGTCGCCTTCTTTGGTCGATTCTACTCCATTTGCAGACACTTGGAGAGCATACTGTGACGCAATGTTACATTATTATTATTATTATTATTATTAAAATTTATGGTTTCTCCCAAAAGGGTTTTTCAGAACCCATTTACAAAATTATTTTATAAAACTACAATTTTAAAATATTTACAGTTTCTACAAAGTTAGGAATAAAAATGACTGATATCTAAGTTTTTAATAGTCTAAAATAGGAAGTAGTCTATAGTCTAAGTAGACAATAAGTGTTCTTTAAGTTGACTTTTAAATGTCTTAAGTGATGTACATTTCTTTAGCTCAGTGTCTAAGTTATTCCAAATTGAAGCTCCTCTAAAAGCAAATGACCGTTGCCCTGACGCTGTTTTAAACAATGGTATCTGTATTGAGTTGCAGTTCCGCGTAGACCGATTATGAATACAAGATCGTTTCTCAAACATGTCACAAAGATATTTCGGCGCTAAGTTGTTCATGCATTTAAAAGTCATTACGGCATCACGGAAATAGAGTAATTTGTCAACTGTGAGCCACTCAAGATTTTGGAGTAATGGGCTTACATGATCGTATTTCTTGGATCCTGTGATTATTTTACATGCAAAGTTTTGAATAGATTGAAGTTTCTTTATATTAGTGCATGTTGTATTTGACCATACAGTGGAACAGGAGAGCAGTTTACTGATCACTAATGAAGTGATTATCATTGTAAGTGTTCCCTTGTCAAAATTATTTTTAACTCTGTTTATCTGGCACAGTTTATAAAGGAAGGACGACACTAGATTCGATATGTGCTTATCGTAACTTAGGTGACTGTCCATTAGAAGTCCTAGATCTTTGGCAAAATCAACAGGTTCTAGAATCTTCCCCATAAAAGAGATCGAAATATTGACATCAAGTTCGTTCATCAGCTGCCTGGTTCCAATGATCATGAATTTTGTTTTATCTGGATTCACCAAAAGATTGTTTTCACAGCACCAAGACGCAATTTTATGTAGGTCTTCTTCCAGATTTTTAATTCCAGTGTCAGCTTCCGTTAAAGGAAACGATAACAAAGTTTTCGTATCATCAACGTATGATTCAAGATCACCATTGTAAGATGCACAGGGTAGGTCGTTAAGGTATATACAAAAGAGCAATGGCGATAAAATGGCCCCTTGAGGTACACCATAAGTTATCGGTAATGGATCTGATAACGTAGAGTTAATACGGGTTGATTGGAAACGGTCTGTTAAGTAGCTTCTGAACCAGTTTACTGTTGATTTGGATGCTCCGACATTTGATAGTTTATGAAGTAGTCTCTGATGGTTTATACTGTCAAATGCTTTTGAGAGATCAAGCAACACTAAAGCTGAGAGTTTCTTTTTATCCATGGCCTTTAAGATGGTGTCAGTGATAAAAACGTTTAATGTCTCTGTCGAGTGAAGTTTTTTATTTCCACTTTGGTGGGAGGATAGTCGGTTGTTGCTTGTTAGGTAACAGCTAAATTGCTCAAGAACTAAT